GCTGTGATGACTCGATGCAAAACCTTCAACACCATGGATCAACGCTACGTAGAAGCCGCACCAGCCACCGTCTGCTTCGTCTCCACAGATTTAGCCTTCCTCCTCCTCCCCTTCTTATTCTCGTTATCCCCCTCCTTCTTCTTCGCACTCCTCTCCCTCGCCAAATCCAGGGGAGTCTTCTTCTTCTCCATCTCCGAAAAAGACTGAAACCCATCATTCCCCGCTTGCTTCTTACTCTGAACAAGCCACTCTTTCCTCCTCTTCTGATAAAGATCCATCTTCCAATTATGCCAGACGGCGGAACCACTCGGGGAATCCCTCATTGCATCCTCGTTCTCAGCCATCTCTTCTGCGATTCGTTCACGGATGAATGCGAGACCGTAGGTCCCATCCCAGATACGGTCGACAACGTGAGAGGAGTATTTCCCAAGAGCCATCTCGCCGATTTGGCCGTAAAAGTGCTGGATGAGTTTTCTGCGTTCGATGATGGATGCATGTTTGGTCGAGAGAGCGACTTGGATGGTGCGGCTGACGATGGGGTCGGCGGCCATGGCGAGCATGGTTTTGTTGTTCGTGTGGCTTAGTGCGTCGAGGATGATCCGATTTAGAGACCCAGGTGCCAAAAGCATGGCTTGGGCGAGGAGGTTGAAGTGGACCTTGACAACGTCGGGGGTGGGTTCGGCGCTTTCCTGGTTGAATTTGAGAAATCTGTTTAGGTCGAAGGTGTCGTCGGGGCCTTGGATGGCTTCGGTGATGGCGGCTGCGATTGCTTGCGTCTCGATTTCTCGCGCGATGCAGCGATCGATGAGGGTGCGAATGACCATGACGCGGTTGAGGTTGAGGAGCTGGGCTAGAGAGCCAATGAGCATTTCATGGGCCTCGTGGAGGTCGTCTTTGCCTAGTCGCTCCAGGATCCGGCACACAACGTAGCCGGCTGTTTCGTTACGAGCCCAAGATACTAATCGACTCTTGAAGACGGACTTGTAAAGGCTTTTAAATGTTTTGGCGGGCGCTTGTTGGATTATTTCCTCGATGAGGAACGATCCGATGGGATCGTAGACAAGACTGCCGACAAAGGTTGCGCTGTCGTCTTCTGCCTGGGCCGCATCATCCGGCAGGAGCTTGCGGAGAATGGAATCTTCCTGGCGGCCTCTTTGTTTGCCAAAATGAGCCAGCTCCAGGCGAAGCAGTAGAGATAGAGTTGGGCCTCCGTGCGTATGCGTGGCCAGAGCTCGGAGCTTGGGGGTGTCGAAGCTGGCGGCGCTGGTTGCCAGGAGCTTTTCCAATGCCCCATCAAACGACTTTGAAACGGTTTTGGACTTGGGTTCCGCCTCTGGCCCGTTCGATCTTGCTACCGCCATGTGTTCCTTTCGACCGCTCTGTGACATGTACTTGGGGGAGTCTAATGACTCGCCGGCGAATATCAGCAGTAGCAGTCTCAAAGTATGAGAAGCGTATTGGTCGGTTATGAGATAGCCGATGCTCTTTTCCAACTCCTCCATTGTTGTCACAAGCAGTTGTTCTATCGAGGATTCACCCTCGTCCTCGGCTAGGAGGTCATTTGCTCGGCGGAACAAAGTCTCGCAGCAGTGAGACGCTGACCTGTGAGTGACCAACTTTGCAAAGCTTTTACCGTCAGCACGAGTCTGTACATGTCAAGAGCAATGTCAACTTACTTTTCACTGAAAGCCTGGAAAAGGCTCTTGACCTGGACAACGTTTGAAAGCTGGATTATGCGTTCCATGAAGCGGGAACAAGACTGGCTCTGTGCAATTTTGAGCTCCTTGCCCTCCATGTCTTTGTGCACCCGCTCCAGGTATGCTTGCTTGTCCTCGTCATTTTCGAATGAGCTTTCAGCCAGCTCCTCGTCGGCACGTTGGAAAAACTCAATCTCATCCGCATCTAGCTGGCCAAAGAAGGCCACTTCCTGCTCTGGAGCTTCATCTTCTTGGACCACATCTTGATTCTGTTCGAATTCAACGAGCCTTCGGTCAGGCAGATAGCGGGGATCGATGCTGGACTTGCGCCGCTTGACATCGCGGTGTCCATCGGCGACAGGAGATGCATCCTCACCGCGCTCAGATGCAGTGCGCTTCATGCGCCTGCCACGCTTCTTGTGTTGCTGGGGCATGGCGTCGAAGATGCAAAGATGCAAGGTCTAAGTGGGACTTAAAGATGCTTGAAGGGAAAGAAGACTGCAACCCCTCCCCCCCTCCCTTAACACGCGTTCAAACGTTGACAAATCGGGCGCAACTTTTCTCAGACGTGCGCCATCTCTGTAGAAGCACGTGGCGGAATCTCGATACGATCGTGGCGGTGACGTGGACGTTGCGCTAGACCAGATCGGGTCGCGGCGGGTCCGATCTGAGGCCGTATGCGCCGTCTGATTGGCTACAGAGATCTCACCGTCCTAATTTTAGGGCCGTTCCCTATTTCCTTGTGGAAGGGGAAAGCCGATGTGTGTTGCACAGAGTGTTCCTCCACAGAACGCTTTCCTACATAACGTGGCCCATGATTCGTTCGAGGTCACGCTTCCCACCCAAGGGTTGCCCATTCCAAAAGGTCCGGGCTCGGCCGGAGCCGCTGGCCCAGCATGCACCCTGCTGGATTGAACCGGCCTTGGGGGCCACCCTTACAACAATAGACACGAAAGCCTGTTATATGTGATACATGCGGGATCAGACAGACGGTCCTATCGGTGTTACATTGCATCTCGGTCTAGCCCAAGGCCACAGTCATGGACACGTCACGCGCAAGACGCAAAGACGATCGAGGGCTTGACGGGACGTTAGCATTCAGTCCACTTGTAGCTAGCTTAGCCTTGTATCGCTAAATGGAAACAGTTTCGTCTGTATTACCTGGCATGGCCTAAGCCACTCTGCCAGAAAAAGCAAGGCATCAAAAACAAGCCACACCGGTCTCTCACCTCCCTCTTGGCATTCCTCTTCCTCTTCCTCTCATTGCCCGCTGCGCAGCCCCAGGCGGCAATCCCCGCGTGGGCGCCTGTGGCTGTTGGCTTTCTTGGTTTTTAATCGTCTCGTCGACCGAAAGGATCAGACAACTGGCCTCAACAGCAGCCTGGATGGCGTTGATCTTTACCAGTGCTGGTTCCCAGACAAACGCCTCGAGGTTATCGCGGATTCCCTCGTGATCAAAGTCGATGCCGGCCCATGTGTGGCCTTTGCGGTGCTCAACCCGCAGTCGGTTAAGCATGTCGGTGGCATCGAAACCTGCATTGTCACAGAGTTGGCGGGGGATCACCTCGAGCGCTTTCGCAAAAGCCTTGATAATGCTCTGTTGCTTGTGGGGCACATTGCGGTCTGCAAAGCCGTGGAGATAGGCAGAAACTTCCATCTCACACGCTCCACCGCCCGCAACGATGGTGTGATTCTTGATTGCACGCTTGACGATCATGATGGCGTCGTGAAGCGACCGTTCCACCTCGGCAATGAACTGCTCAGCGCCGCCGCGAAGCACCAACGTGCATGTCTTTGCCTTGGGGCAGCCCTCAAAGAAATTGAACCTCTCGCCACCGACCTGCCGCTCCTCGAAACGCTCACAGGTGCCCAGATGTTGCTCCTGAATATCAGAGCACGTGGACTGAACGCTGGCGCCCGTAGCCTGGCAGACACGTTCCATGTCCTCGGACGAGACGCGGCCGGCACAGAAGATGTCGCGGTCAGCAAAGTACTGCGTGGCCAAATCGCCAATGGGCAGCTTGGAAAGAACAACCTTGGCCCCCGTTTTGTAGAGCGCCTCCATCTTGTCTGAAATAATCTTCCACTCGGCGTCGACAATGGCCTGATACTCGCGTACTTGTTCTACACGCACCTCTGCATTGTCCTTTTCGCTCTTGAGCTCGAGCTCTACGTTTAAGCAGACAATGGACGGGTTTCTGAACGACTTGGGCTGTTGTTCGAAGCCAGCGTAGGCAAACGTCTTCTTGAAAGCAACGCCATTGACAAATATCGAATCCTGCAACGCACCTCCAGTGATCATCTTGATGCCAATAAGCTTCTCATTGAGATCATCCTGATCCAACGAGAGCACGGCATCAACGGCCATCTTGGTAAAGAAGTCCGAGTTACGGTGGATGAGTTTGCTGTTCATCGCCGTAGCTGCAAGCTTCTGCAGCGTTTCCTCTTGATTCCCCTCGTGCGTGCTAACAGCCATCTCCTGCACCTTGTTAACAGCCATCGCTCCCGCTCGCCGCAGTCCCTTGATAATCGTCTGACTGCTCACACCCTGTTCCACATATTCCTTAACCTCCCTTAAAATCTCACCCGCCAAAACAACAACAGACGTCGTCCCATCCCCAACTTCTGCGTCCTGAGACCGCGCAATATCCACCAATATACGAGCGGCCGGGTGGACAATGTCCAGCAGCTTCATGACCGTAGCCCCATCATTGGTTATGGTCTGTTTCCCATTCTCATCAACAATCAACAAGTCACCGCCATAGGGTCCCAGCGTCGTCTTGATCGTATTCTGCACAGCACAACACGCGTTGATGTTGGACACGATCTGACCTCGACCTTGCGATTGATCGGTGCCTTCTTTCAGTACGATGATAGTCGGCGTCTGGCCGCCAAACGACATTGTGTGTTCTGGTACACCTGTTTTTGCTCTTAACGGTTTGAATCAGCGGGCAGAGAGGGTGGTGTCGTCACAACCGCGTGCAAGGCGACCAGCACTACACGAAATTTCTAGTCTCGGCAAACTTTCCGCCCGCGTCACAGCTGCATATATGCCTCAGGCATTGATATCAGTTCATCCCACCGTCAAGGAAGAGCATTTTCCATATTTTCGCTCAAGTACATAGCCACAAATATCACTGATCGATACCCATGTTGTCTGTGTCAGTTCATTGTTCGTTCTGTAGAGAGTTGTTAAGAGAGAAAAAAAATTGGACAAAGATTGATTCATCCCCGAACTTGACTCCATCCCATTTCAACTTCTCATCTGGCAAGGGCTCTCTCGATGGAGAGAGAAAAAAAAAGTCTCCCCTCCCGGGTTCGAACCAGGGACCTTAAGATGATTCTGCGCGCGAGTCAAACCCACAACATCCATTACAGTCTTACGCTCTTCCAACTGAGCTAAGGAGAGCTTCTTGTTAGGTATGGTGGCAAAGCCAAAATATAACCCGGCCAACCAATTTGTGCAGAATAGACCAACCAATCCGCCTCAGTCTTCAACACACGCGTTCATCCAAGCCTTCGAACAACACTCATCCATACATACGATCCACACCTATCATACGCAATGACTTTCCTATACGATGTCCTCCAACAAGGTCGCCGAGCAGTCGTGCAGGCTCTGAACGGCGCCTCCATCGAGCACGATGCGCCATTCTCTCCGGACGTACCTGACGATCTGCGGGAGTGGCTACCGGACCTATTCGATCGTTTTCCCGTCGTCCTTCCATGGGTAAGACAATTCCAGGAGACGAATATACCTAAAACTAAAAAAACCCAGGCCCGAGCAGAACCCGTCGATCCAGCTCTCCACAACGTCTGGATCTTTGACAACACGGCATTCCGCACCCCCCAAGCAGGAGACCACCGCCCCGACCTAGCCAAACTAGCTAATCCCCAAACCACACAACCCACCAGCAATGGCAAACCCACACGAGGCGGCAGCGGCTGGGAAGTTGAATTCGTCGCCGCCTACTTCGTCAAAGACAGCCAAAACGACCTATCCCAAGCAGTAGCTAAACTAGTCAAAGCCCTCAACATCGGGCGCGAAGACATTGCCACCAAAAAACTCATCGCCAGCCGCCTGGAACCCTTCGCCAGCAAAATTCTCGCCCATCGCACCTTGAGAATCTCCATCGCCAGCATGGAAGAACAAACCCTGGGCCCCTCCTCCCTAGCAGGCGTCAGCTCCGAACTCCACGAGCTACACATCCAACCACCCGACAACAAAACCGTCCAATCCACCCCCCTAGACCTCCCCCCACCATTCGGCATGTCCAGCACAACCGTCTTCGCTGGCGAAACCGGCTGGGGTCTAATTTCCGATATCGACGATACCATCAAAGTCACCGGTTCCAACGATCCCGTCTCCGTCCTCCACACCACCTTCGCCGTCGCGGAGCCTGAACCCGTAACCGGCATGCCAGAACTATACGCACACATCTCCAAAACTTTAAGAAACCCAGCTACGTTCTACCTCTCTGCATCACCCTACCCTCTCTACCCCTTCCTCCGCGACTTCGAGCGGGCTCATTACCCCCAAGGAACGATCATCCTCCGCGACGCGAGCTGGCAGAATTTAGGAGGGCTGGTCGCGAGTTTGCAGGAGGGTGTGGAGAAGTATAAAGTCGACAGGTTGGTAAAAATCCACGCGTGGTTACCTCATCGTAGGTTCGTCTGTGTGGGGGATTCGTTGCAGTCGGACCCCGAAGCGTACGGGGAAGCGGCGAGGAGGTTTCCTGGTTGGATCAGGGCGATTTTCATCCGAAGGGTGGGTACGAATGCGGAGAAGGTTAAGCAGGAAAGATTTGAGGAGGCGTTTCGTGGGCTTGATAGACGCTTGTGGCACGTTTTTACGGATGCGGGGGAGTTGAGTGAGAGGATTGATGAGTTGGGGAGGGATGATGAGGCTTTGGTTGGGGGGGAGCATTTTGGCTGAAGCAAGCCGTATTTGAAAGATTACATTACATAGAGGGTATGTCGAAACGAATTACTGTATCGTCATTAGGACTACATATCATAGCATCATCCAGCACCTTCAACGCAGCAGCGGCTTTTCGGCCAAGGGCACTCCTGGCCTCTCTCTGCCTTTTCTGTTTAGCTTCTAATGCCTCCACCTCCTTTTCCAGCTCTTCAACACTACAATCCATATCAGGCAGCTGCTCGACGGCCTTGGCTGCCCTGCGCAGTTGCGATTTCATTCCCAGCACCGCGCCCGGCATGTCTTTCGGCTCTAAGGGGACGATGCTCATATAATCCGCTCCGATATCTTGGTCATTATCGGGATGGTCGGGGGTTGAAAGGATTGAGTCCGGAAGGGGTTCTATCCGCGCCAGGATCTCGTGTAAGCGCGGGAGAATGTCGAACAGGTCGGCGGGTGGGAGGGTATAATTCTCTTCCGGAGGGGTTGCGGCTTCGGCTGGGGTGGTGGATGCGTCTTTGCGCGCCATCTTGGGAGGTTGGTTCATGATGCTAGGAGTGATGTGAGGTGATGGAGTCAGGTGGGTGCCTGAGGCATGGGGAACTTCCACTTGAGGGACCATCATCCAGGGAAGAGGGGTTGGAGGAAATGTACACACGGCGGGTTTTCGCTGTTCGTGTGCTAACAGTCTACCTATGTATAAATGGCTGTGCCAGTATGGAGTTTCATGCTGCTGGCCTTTGGCCCGCATATGACTCGTAGATGCACACTCACATGACAGGTGACAGACCCGAGCGGAAGATGTCGGCGGTTGCGTTGAAACGCCTCTTTGAAAGATCTGCTCACGTTGTGGCGAATGTACTAATGCCACCGAATGGTAGTAGAAACGCTTGGCACTGACACCTCTACAATAAGTAGTATTGTGAGGTTGGGAGCTCAGCTGTAGGGACAGGGACTGAAGAACACCAGACGGGCAAAGGCAGCCGTTTTCACACGACCTTCAATGACGTAACGCAAGCCCCACCTCATTATCATGGAGGGGCAAAGGAAAAGACACTGACAAGATTCCACAATGGTTCAAGTCCAGCAAAAGGTAGCTCTCATCTGCATCGACGGCTGGGGGATTCCCTCGGACCGGAGTCCTGCCGATGGCAACGCGATCCTCAACGCCAAGACTCCTTGGATGGACGGCTTTGCGAAGAAGGGCAGCGATACAGCTCAGGGCTACACGGAGCTCGAGGCCTCGTCGCTCGCCGTCGGTCTTCCCGAAGGGCTGATGGGTAACTCCGAGGTTGGACATCTCAATATCGGGGCTGGCCGTGTTGTCTGGCAGGATGTTGTCCGCATCGACCAGACCATCAAGAAGGGTGAGATGAACAAGGTGGAAAACGTTGTCAAGTGCTTTAATCATGCCAAAGAGGGCGATGGGAGGCTGCATTTGGCGGGCTTGGTTAGCGACGGCGGGGTTCACTCCCACATTAACCACCTCAAGAGCCTCCTAAAGGTGGCCAAGGAGATGAAAGTGCCGCACGTGTATATCCATTTCTTCGGCGATGGGCGTGATACGGATCCTCACAGTGGTAAGGGCCATTTGGAGGATCTGCTTGCTTTTTGCAAGGAAGAGGGCGTTGGCGAGTTGGCTACCATTGTCGGTCGTTACTACGCGATGGACCGCGATAAGCGCTGGGACCGTATCGAAGTGGCCATGAAGGCCATGGTTTGTGGAGACGGCGAGGCCAGTGACGATCCAGTCAAGACTGTCCAGCAACGCTACGATGCGGACGAAACAGACGAGTTTCTGAAACCCATCATTGTCAATGGCAAGGAAGCCCGCATCAATGATAACGACACCTTGTTCTGCTTCAATTATCGCTCCGATCGTATGCGTGAAATCACCCAGTTGCTTGGAGACCAAGACCGCTCACCCAAGCCCGATTTTCCCTATCCCAAGAACCTTGCCATCACCACCATGACGCGGTACAAGACAGACTACAACTTTCCCATTGCATTCGCTCCGCAGGTCATGGACAATGTCCTCGCAGACTGGCTGTCACAAAAGGGAGTCCACCAGTGCCACATTGCCGAGACTGAGAAATATGCCCATGTTACGTTCTTCTTCAACGGAGGCCGAGAGGTCCAGTTCAAGAACGAAGACCGAGACATGATCCCTTCGCCCAAGGTGGCAACATACGACAAGCAGCCAACCATGTCCGCCATGGGCGTCGCAGATCGCATGTGCGAGCGCATTGCAGAAGGGAAGTACGAGTTTGTCATGAACAATTTCGCACCTCCAGACATGGTTGGACATACGGGAGTGTACGAGGCAGCTGTAAAGGCTTGCGAGGAGACCGACGCCGCTATTGGCAAGGTATATGAAGCGTGTCGTAAGCACGGCTACGTACTCTTCATCACTGCCGATCACGGCAACGCCGAGGAAATGCTGACGCCTGAGAAAACGCCCAAGACGAGTCACACGACGAATCTTGTTCCGTTTGTCATGGCCAATGCGCCTAAAGAGTGGAGTTTGAAGAAGAAGGATGGTGTGCTAGGCGATGTTGCGCCGACCGTCCTGGATGCAATGGGCATTGATAAACCCAAGGAAATGGGCGGGAGCAGTCTTCTCGAGAGAAAGTAGAGTAGCCGTGTATTCAGTCGGCTTCCTTGTATCCCAGTCAGCGTCCATTATGTTCACAATCAGCATTCACCGTATCCCAGCCAGCGTTCTCCTTTTAGTCATTGTATTCCACTCTCAGCTCTTGCAAACCAACCTCCCTCGAAAAGTCGAACCCACAGAGTATCTAACTCACCCCTAGCCCTCCCCCTCAATCCCAATATCCCCCCAAACCCTCCCCCGTCTAAACAACATCTTCACCATCGCGCCCCCCCTTCCCCGATCCCTCCTCTGCAGATCCACCCACATCCCCAGATATCCCAATTCAATTCCTCGTTCCTCACAAGCCCCCTCAACCTCCCTCTCTTCCAACAAATTTATATCCCCACTTCTCACCATCAAAAAATCATCAACCCCAACCTCATACAATCTCTTACTAACCCGCCTCCTCAAAAGCCAACGCGGCGGGATCAGACCACATCTCTCCCAGGAATGGCCGTGTAGTGCCAGGACCCGTGACAGAAAATACAGCTGCTCTCTATTCATCTCCGAAACCAGCTTTTGCAGAACCGAGCGTTCTGTGGTCGCCCAATCTTTCCGCGGAGGATCGGATGCTGCAGGCCCCCTCAGCTCCGCAACCTCCGCAACCTCATCAGGTCCCACAGATATCGTAGGTTCAACGACCCCATCCCTAAAGGCATGTACCCTCCTCAACCGGTTCTTCTCCCGGATGGAGTTTATTTGTGCGGGTAAGAGACAGGTTGACGGCACGAGGCCGGTTATGAAGGGCGCAATTAAGGCGAGCCATTCCCCGAATATTAATGCCAGGAGGGCGAAGAGGGGAAGTTTACCCACATCCCGCGCAGAGAGGGTGAGGATG